TTCTTCATCAACGTGATGGCATGTCGTATTTCGGAAGGGAGAACCGAAGGAGCGATATATTCGTCTTGCCTAAGATGGTGAATAGGCAGGTTGACGTGGCTGTCGAATAGATCCGAGTAGAAGTCGTAGTTGTAGTAGTTGGGATGAGATGAAAGCTTTAATTCTAATTCATAAAACTAAACTCACTGCTTTCAGGATGTTCACCGCTTCCTTCGATAACCACACGGGATAGAGCACATCATCATTCAAGATAGCCTAAACTTTCAAAAGTTATCTTTGCGTTGTGACATAGTCAGTAACTGCGTGTACTTCATTTCGTCCGATGGTTTCCAAAAGACGAGCTTTGAAATGCCATTTCACCTTTTCTAGGAAGTTCTTCAACGATAAAAAACGCCGCTTCAGCCTTTTTTAAGGCCAAGGCATTATATAATCCCAGCAGGTAAACTGCAAAACCGATATCACGCAGAGTTGTGTCCCCAGGTACATCAAATAAACTTTGGGAAATGGGTGAGTATCAGATTTTATTGCACCATCCATAGAACATGGAAACCTCAACGCAGGTGAGAGCTGTTTTTGTAGCTTTTTCGAAAGGGAACCGACTCATCATTCATTATGTCAGGATCTTTTGAAAAACATTGTGCACATGAGAAATCCGTACTCATTCCTACAAGAATGTAAGCTCAGAATACAACTTGTGTGAAGGCACGAGAGTACTTCATGAGTATTTTTCCAAGTAAACTTTGCGGGTCACCTTTTCCAGCAAATTTTTCTTACCTCGAAGAGATCATCCTCATTATCCGCTTCGAAAGGCGGTTGACCGGCCATCATTTCATACATCAACACTCCTAACGCCCACCAATCAACTGATACACCGTATTCGAGTTCTTGAAGGATTTCGGGAGCAATGTAGTCGGGAGTTCCTGGAACATTGCTGATAAGGTTGTTAACTCTTAAGCCTGAAGAACCGCACAGAAGATTCTTTGTTTATGTTAGTGCTACCATAAAAAGTAGAACCTAACGAGGTCCACAGAATAGAAACGTACCTACGCTCTTAATATCAAATCAGAGTTACAGAGCTACTGACCAGCAAAAAGAGCTTCAAGCTAGCCAACAGTTATTACATTTGTCTTCATCGTCTACATTCCATAACCCTGAGGTATCGCTTGGCTCCGCAAAAATGCAAGATGGAGAATCGCTGTACGCCTCCATAGGCAGCATAAGTGTGGAAAATCGGACTACTGCGAATTTCGTTCATTCCGAATCAAAGTTCGGCCCCGTTTTGTACAACTTCTTTGGTAGCAAAGAAAAGTCATGCATCTCAGTCTCGAGATTTCTTATGAGCATTTTGCATTGAAAAGACATGAACAACCAATGAAAAAATATATAATAATGAGAATGGAAAGAAAGTTGTAAACTAAACTCTATAAGATATGTTAAGTCCACGTACCGCAGAATGTGCTCGTCAAGTTATCCTTGGTAATGCCCTCCTTACACATTCCGAAATCAGCAAGTCGACAATGTCCTTCGGCGTCCAGGAGGATATTATCCAATTTGAGATCTCTTAAATGAAATGAGTGACTAGATATAAGGGATTCATCGTATGAATTTCCTGAACCAAGTCCTGACTAAGTTAACGAAATCTGGTGCAAAAGGATATAACGAAAATCAAGTACGGGAACCCTGTACATACAGTGGTGTCTATTGATGAAAGGACTGCACTGTACGCAGATTATGGTAGCGATTGATCAAGTGTAATACATTTCTTGTGAACTGCCCGCATCCTCGCATCCCCTGACGCAGGTTTTACTGCTCGAGGCAGCATTTTAGACAAACTATGACAACAGAAGCGGAGGTTGTGTAGGGGCAAGTGGGTGGTAAAATACGTGCATGGACTGGAGATCGAATACCGGATTAATCTGCACCTAGGTCAGCAGAGCCGTCCAATCCTCCGCGGTCACTTATTTGGTCCCAGACTCGTCCGAGAGGACGGGATATCTGACATGTGCATTGTCCGGCCAACGCAAGTCACCGCATCAGCTAAATACGCCACTACGATGTTGTACTCAAATCACGGGGGGCGCATCTCAGGAACGGACTGACTAAAGCCAAAAACTTCAGAAAATTTGAGACGGTTATTACTTCTAGGAACTTGTTCCATTCCTGCTTCTTGACTGGTCCCAACAGCAGCAACAAAATATCCTTTTTTGATTTGTACTGTGAATGGACAACACAAAGAACGGAATCGTGCATAGGCGAAATCCTACACTTTGGCCTTAAGACCCGTATAAGGAATCATATAATGAGGTTGTTCCGCAGCTACCTTGATCATTATGATGAGATCCAGAAGAGACATATGACGACAATTTTTTTCCCAATTTCGTGTTTTTTCGCCTGATTCTCTCAATGACTTGACCAAAGCTAGAGTTACTACAATGGCTGCTGTTACAATAGGAACTCCTTTCAACGAAGAAAATCGTATGAAATTAACCGTACTAAATCAATACCTATAGATGACTTCATTACGATGGAGGAACTGCAGTGCGCACGTCACTTCGGCCGCATAGAATCGAGCTCGTGGTTCGTCAAATTTACGTGCCCGTTGTATTTGGAACATCAAATCTCCACCATTCACATATTCCATCACAAAGAATAAACGATCCTTAACGGAATCAACATTATTTTAACAGTAACCTTGTTGAATTTTCAAACAGTTATATCCACCGTACTCTCATGTTGATAGTGGTTAAACTAGAAATTGAAGTAAAAACAAAAAAGAAGGTGACTGGTAGGGCCAGGGATTCTTCATAAACGATGGTTAAAACTTCTCCGGTAGGTTGGATCAAACAGGAGCTTCACTCCTGGATTCGGAAGTTGGCTGGGAATCTATTCAAATCCGTCAAAAGCCTCTGCACTACAAATAATATTGTGAGGTTATGTCTCGAGCTTATCCTTAGTATCAGAACCAAGCTGAAAAATCCTAAATTCGTTAATAGAAGGGAAACAGAGTTCAGATTTGACCCTCTGACGGGGCATGGTGCCATGGAGGACTCCAGCCTCTTGGTTACGAGCAGAAAGGGTTGAAAAGGAATTCATCTCAACATGGAATCGAAAGGGAAGAGCAGCAACTCACCCCTCCCCCCCCATTTCAAAAAAAATAAAGATACTTCCTGGAGATTCTGAATGAGCCTGCATAATAAAGTGTGACTCACAGGGGTTTGGAAACTGCTGTGAAGAGCAGTGAGAAATGGATGTTTGGCGGCAAGGCTGAGAATTCGCTTCTCGCACATGGTGCACTCGACGTCGTCGTCCTGCACGATCACGTCCTTCTTGAGGATTTTGATGGCGTACACCTCGTCCGAACCGCGCCTTTCAGCTAGCATTACCTTGAAAGTTAGAAAACATCATATAAGTCAGTGCACATAGTAGTCAGAGACCCCTCGTGGAATGCATTCCGTTACAGTTACTCCCTTCAGGAGGCATCCAAAGGGGACAATTGCCTTTACAGGCCCAAAATCTTTCAACTCGATTTTGTTACCCACACGATATACTCAGGCATCAGAAAGGTAATTCTAAGGAAACGGAAGGTGAGGATGCGGTGGATTGCCATGAATCGAATTCTAGCTTTCACAAACCTTGCCAAAAGATCCCTTTCCAAGAACTTTTATGAAGACAAAGTCCTGAATGGATAAAGTACCACCGGGCGGTCGTGGTGATTTCGCCGGCTCCTCTTCCGATATTTGTGCAAGATATGCTGAAAATAACCTTTTGAAAATCAAATATGAAAGTCAAAGAAGGTAAAAGTAGGTCAAACTAAGGGAAGTAGTGGTGCAAATTTTCGTCTATCCGAACGTACTTGATCCAGAATCTGAAGTGCCCATACTTGTCGTATCTGAACTTGTGTCGGTCGCAATGGATGGCTGAAAAGAGAGTTCCATCAGTACGGGTACTGTCTATGTTCCATTTGGCTGTACAGTTCATAGGCACCAAACTAGAATATTTGCCTGGCAGTCATTTCAGACACAACGAGAGCGCTACATGCGCCACAATTCTTTTGCGCTTTCATGCTCGTCGAAAACAAGGAACGGCTCAGTACATACTCTCCCAGACGAACTTCTATGGACAGCTTCGCGACCGCGCGCGTCTGCGAGGTGTGAGTCGCAAAACACAGTAAGAGTAGCGTCGTTCGTTGTACAAAGCCGGTGAAGACTTTTTCAGATCTTTTTGTTGTTTGAATGATAGTATTCACCTTCTTTTTGCTACGGATGCTCATCTTGTCACCAGTCAAGCCCAGTTGCGCTAATTCAGCGGCCATTTGTTTGGCATTGATACCGCAATTGTTGGCTACATTCCGCTGACATCTAAACCGATTGATACCAAAATATGAATATATGAAAGTTATATGATAAAAAGTCGATACCGCATTGCCTGTATTTTAAAAAAGGGTCGAGAAATCTATGGTGGAAGGCAATCATACCGTTTATGAACATTCAGCTTACAGACGGAACACTGTAATCCTTGGTTGATTAGGCCGTAAAGCATTGATCCGCAATGATCGCAAAATGTTGGGCGTTTATAGGAATGAACCGAGAAACGATGAGGCATATTAATGTTGAACCGACCCATACCAGTCTGAAATGGAAAAAAATCAGAAATGAGAAAGGCAGGAAGGAACAGCCAAATTATGAAAAAACAAAACGCTGGTAAAATTTGAAGAAAAAACCGGACAAATTCTCAAATTTTTCACGAAAAATGGAAAATAAAAGCAATCAGACCATCCAAGTTCTATCTGGAACCCAGAAAAGTGGGAGCAGTTCATAGCAGTAATCCGATAGGAGCATTTGGGAGTGCCCTGGGTAGTGTTGTAGCTTCACGCAAAAGGGAAATAAGAATGCTGTTCAAGAATCGTAAGAAAACATTGTAGGGATTGTCAACAACAGGCAGTGACGTTTCCTCTTTCAAAAAACAAAAACTATTCGAAGGTAGGTACCTCGTGGCATCAAACGTCATTTGCTTCGCAAAAAAGGCGTTCGATCGCACCTAAGCCCTATTCGATTTTCAAATGGCAGAACTCTCTTTTCCACTATGAGCCGGCTAGCTGGCGAGGACTTGGAAAATTCGGATCAAATAATCACTTTGAAAAAAGCAAATGCTCCATTGGAGATTCCAAACTCCTTTTCTTCAGTAGAGTTGCTACCAATTCAATGTTCAATCCCTCGATTTCATCTTCAGACTGTTTGCCTTAGGATTTGCTCTCAGATCAAGTGTTCCCCCTTCTATTCTAAATGAAGTGTGGCGTGGGCTTTGCTTGCATCCTTCACTCAATGTGGCCCTTTTGAGAGAACTCATCCATTACAAACTTTGGTAACTGGCACCTTTTGGGGGATCTAAGTTCAATTCTCTTTAATTCCTTATCTCTCTCAAAATCAACTCACGAATTCTACTTGATTTCTGCTCTCAGTAGCGAGCACAAATCAAGTAGAGTTTGTAAGGGAGATGAGTAAATAACTCAACTAGTTCAAACGTTCAAGCTCCCACTTTAAAGAACGGTGCTACTCTCCTATCTTCTGCCAACGTATTCTTTGTCCTTAACTCTATTGAGAGGAGTTCCATGTTGAGAATATTCATAAATAAATATTAACAAGGGACGATAAACATAAATTATAGATGAGCCTCCGAAAACGACAACGAAACCTTTCAGAAGAAGATAAAACAGCAAACCTCGACCACCTCGCGGTTGATCTCTTGCACGGCGTCAGCTTTGTTACCTGGGCATTTCCACACGACTTCTTCGTGGCATCGTTTATGTACAACCACAGTACAAACTAAAATGTAATCATCCGAGAAGCACCGATAAAAACATGTTCAAAAAAGAAGAGCTCAAAAAATTGAGGCCATAGTCAACATAACTATGAACCATTTAAATATTGTGACGATTTTCAGTCAAAATTAGCATTGGTATGCTAAGTAAAGCCTCACGAAGCGACAAGATGAACTTAATGTCGCTTCATTCAAGAGCGGATAGACCAAATCAGAGAGCTAGAACAAGAGAAAACTCTATGATAAGCTCCTTTATTCTTCTTTCCATTACTGGCATTAACTCCTTCCCGTTGGACAGCCCCAATCCCTTAAAACGCTTGTTGTCCAGGAATCCTATCCAAAGAATCTTCTGCCTAGGGCTTAACTGTAGCGAGGTAGACCTTTATGGCGTCCTTTCTCTTTCTCTTTTAAGTCAACTTGGCGACTCAAAAAAAAGTGATGCAATACTCACTGGTACTTTGACTTGATAACTGTTGTTTGAATGGGAGATAAATGTTCCTGATTCTCCCTTTTTAGGCATTGAAAAAAAGCACAACAGGAGCAGCTCGCTTTAAGGTCACTTCGGTTTTCCAATTACCTTTAAGCCTGAGGGCTAATGTGGTTCTATTTTAAGACTTCGCGCATAATGATTCGTTAGTACAAACTGCTTTGAGGGGGATGTTCAAAGCCTTCGATGACCTTTTACTTGTTCCCCACAACGGCTGTTGGGTTAACATCTGAGCGGGAGTAAGCTCAGATGGGACAATAGGAATAGTGTTGCTAAGCTAAGAAATTGTCAAAAAGCCGACAGTATTCTGGGCATTCAATTTGTATGAGGAGCGTTGATGCTACGTTTGACTGGCAGCCACGACTGATCAGTGATTGCAGCCAAGGAATTCAATTTCCACTTAACTGTCATTTGACTGGGAACAATTTTCTCAGTTCTCCTTCCTTAGTGATCGATACGCTTAGGAGACATCATCGAAGGATTAGCAAGAGAAGCTTGGGCCTGAATCCGCTGGCAGGAACTTCAAGCCCTGCCAGCTGATTCTTGAGGGAGTGCCCTAGACAGGAATTATCTGGATAACGTCCACAATACAAAGTAAAGTAAGTGACGTCAGATTGGACGGACAGGGTATACAACCAAATTTTGCAGGGTCAGTTGTTTAAATGTACAAGTACTTTGTGAAAGTATTTGAAAAGGAGCAGTATTCAAAACCATGGAATACTCACTCTGACACTGATATCCTTGCTTGCCGATCCCCCAGATGAATTCTTTACAATGAGCACAAAAAGTTGGCTGCCGCAAGAATAGCGCCATGAACTTGTGACCGGTGACCTAAAGCAATTACTTATTTTCGGGTATTAGAACGATTCACGGTTATTGAATACTTCATGGATCTTCCGACGCATTGCACCACGACGTTGCCGATCATTGAATGCGCCTGTCCGCTCTTTGAAAACCCGATCCTTGACATGGTGTGATTCTGAAAAAGCACAAATATTAGTATTTTGTTTACAGCATTTTTCAAGCAGTATTTATTTTCTTGAAAAGCAAATACTTGAAAAGAGAAAAACTGAGCATGAGGGTGGATATGTGTTTGTCAAACCAATAAGTGATGGCAGGAACTAGCTGCTTTCGCACAATATCCGGCAGAATATCCGGGAATCAGCCTTTCATCTTCCTTACTCACCTTTCTTTCGCAGCCCACCCACTACGGCAGAGTCCGACTTCGTGAATGCGACTGCGTTTTCATTTTCTAAGACTTCATCTAGCTCACTTTTAGTTTGGTTGAAGATCACAGTGGTACATCCCAAAGATGGACAGGACATTGTCCGTTCATCTCTAGGAATACCCATGATCACCACTTTCGTTTTTTTGCTCTAGACCATTCAAACAATATGGAATATGGATTTTTCGAATATGGACCCCTGCAGTGCCCTTTTGCCAAGAGGACATTATCAGGGGTATCACGGAAGGGATATCGCTGGGAAAACATATCAAGCGGGGTAGCAAGGTAGTCAGTGTCTAACATTGTGCAGGTGCGACTAGCTTTATACCCTTAATCTCGTTAGTGCGTCAGACCTCTGAAATCGCGGAGCGGAGACGTAGAGAGAATTTACTAAAAGGTGCCTGAACGATTTCCTCAAGGGTTGTGCAATCAAGGGCCTAGCAGACATCACTGACAGGAGGGTCCCACCGGTTAATGCTTAGACCTCGGAATAGGCCTTGAAGGCCAATTTTAAGACCTGCACCCAAGCCGGTAAGTCCTTTCTGTTCTCTGATGTCTGCGACATCACCAGGAACTACTTAACATCGAATCGCTGACCTTCACCCAAAGACGGTGGAATTTGGAGCTTACTACACGGTTACGGTCTTTCAGATAGCTTGTTTTTCATAGGGTAGAGACAAGTTCTATATGGGCATCTTTCATGAGGTATTACACACAGTCAAGCGAATGTTCCCATCCCTCCGCCCTTTGAGTCCCGTTGGTCTCCATGGGTGCAATCGATAAGGGCTAACTGAGCCGCGTTCAGTAATCCGACTATTACCGCGAAGACTAATCACACTCTACCTCACCTGCACATACCTCATCTTTCACATCCATCTGCCCACTACCATTCTGAAACTTCCCTAGACTATATACCACCCATAATTGCACTGACGAAACTTTCAAGTATGACTAGCCAATAATTTCCATCAGGAACCCATATAGAACAATGCTTCTGCACAGGAAGAGTTGGGACAAGTAAATCTCCTGGGGTGCTCATAGTGCCTGGATTGACCACCAGTTCGATTTTGCCCAAACTTACCAAAGACCCGTCTCAGACAGGGCTTTTGAATCCCAGATACTGAGCTTTTTTGCAACTCGTTACATTCGATATGCATTTAAAAAGCCCTCAAATTCTGAATGAACGGCTTATGCATGCAGCGCTTTGAAAAAAGGGAAATGACCGATGTCGATCATTTTTTGAATATTCAAATACAATATTAATGCCATTAATACCGGTGGGAGGTAAGTAACTGGAAATGATTGGTGCAACTTGTCAGGAAACCGAATCCACCACCACCAAGCGAGCCAATCTTTATGGTTTATGCAAGAATGTAGATACGTACGGAAGCGTCTGGGAAGACAAGAGTACTGAATCAAATAGCGGCTGGTAGATACAACAACAAATGGTACCCTGCCTAATGGAAGGCAGACGTTTGTCGTCAATCGGATGGGAATTCGTCAACACTCATCTGGGAGCCTTAATTCCTATTTCGGGGAACCCAAACTTCCACAAAATATGGTTAAGTGCTTCACGAGTATTTAAAAGATATCAAACCTGAATTCTGCGATAATTATGGCATTATTTGGTCCGTCTACAGACCTTGTACTACAAAATGATGGTGTCGCCTAGATATGTCGTAGCACATGGGGTTTTCCTATTCTGTTAATCACTCCTTCTCAGTCTCACTGGGTCATATATTTCTGAAAGGGAAAAGTTGTGGGATGACAGGATGAGCTCCAAAACTCTTCTTCTTTTCTCGTCTTCGTTCTATTTACTTTCCAATCAACTAAATGACTCATCTCCGAAACAATTTCTGCTATCAAAGGTTCACGTGGCTCTTTGTCAGCTATGATGTTGCAATTTCTCTGCCGGCAGACGGAAACAGTCCTTATCACAAATTTCCCTCGCATCGATTCACCACGTTCTAGTCCTATTTCATTTTTCCAATTTAGAAATTACAATATAACCTAATAAGTATGTTAACTGTTAAGTGACGAAGTGATGAAATGGTTGCGTGCGAATAGAAAAGTGATAAGCCTCTTTGTGCTACTACTTTTCGGCTGCATGATGATAACTACCACGGTTTACAACTACAGCAATAAGCCTCAACGATTTGCCATCGGTACCGAACAAAAGGTAAGGTTCAAGAACGTATTCATGATTGCATAGATGCATAGATACCAGCGCAGTCGGAAGGCTCTTATAGTAGTCATCCTTGTCCCCTCAAAGCGTCCAGGGTGTTCAGCTCTAAGCCCGGTTCTGACGACTTTAAAAGTTCTATATGAATGCACAAATTCACGTTCTAATGACGGTAAATTCCACTTCTCTTTGTACATTCCTTATGAAAATCTATCTTACAATCATCAATCTAGGCCACTGAACATTTTCTACTTAAGTCTCATTGGCCCGGTGAGCGATTTGGGAGATAGCCGGTTAATCCTACTTGTTACTGACAACGAATAAAAATCAGTTATAGCCGAACGAGTAAAAGATTCCTTTCTGAGTCTCTGACATACTTCAAATTTAGGGCTGCCATCTCCCGAGACCGGACCCATTCGATCCCAGTATATTAGAGTTCTTCATCAAACCGGAACCGTTGAGGTGCAATGGAACGCAACCCGAGTTAACCTACTTGTCCAATGATGTAAGTCACATACATAAACAAAAGTAAGGAGAACAGGCCACAGTAAAATCCTCAATACTAGGTAAAATCTCTGGCACGAAATGAGAACGAAAAACCTGTAAATTATAAGAAGAATAAAGAGGGATAGCTGGGGATTGTTAGTTAATTGGTCTCAAGTAAGAAATATCAGGGAAAAGAACGATTTTACTAGAAAATTTGCCTGAGACATTAGCTCAATTGTAATATTTACATTTATTATGACGTCTTCTGAGAACACCCGAATCGGTATCATGAGTTATCACAACTTAACATCTTTAGCCGCACATTCCGGCATAATCCAGAAAATCTACAAATTTCAGCGAACTAACTCTATGAAGCTCTTTATCTGATTACCAGTTTCCTTCATATCTGCATTCATTCAAAGATCATTCCTTCAGCCAAAGAAGCCATTTTAGGAGTGGCTTCACGTCAACCGTACGGCCATAATCGCCACGGGACTATCTCTAGCATGTTTTTATAGATGTTATGATCGCGTCGAAGGAGATGACCTTGAGCTACAGTATGCCGAATGGATTCAGATAAACGTGAGAGTTTCACATTACAGCAAATACTGCAAAAGATTAGGAAGATTGTGGTGTACTGAAAGCTTAAATCATCGATATCACAGAAGTACATCTTATCACGTTGTTGAAAACGCAACCCAAATGAAGAAATACGCCTTCATTTTTTACTTCGAGAAAACGAACAAATCAAAAAACTGTGATGGAAGTATAACAAGGAATTTTACCAATTCAGCCCTATCGCCCTAAAGCTCTTCCCCCACTCTAAGCCAATAATCACTGCCTGCATGCCCAAGTTGGTACGAGTTAAAAGAGGATTCCTTGAGGTGAAAACATCTTTGAGGGCAATTTCTACCAACAAGGAGCTGTTCGAATTTACGACTGATTTCCCAAAGGTAGTTGCATGGTTATGTGAGAACGTACAGAAAACCTGATAACGGCTAGGCCTTCCCAATAAGTTTTTCGCCTACGAATGCTTCACGGCCTAACTTTCATGTTCGTGAGTAAACGAAAAGTGTATTCAATAAGGCTCTGCCAGAATCTTCCCTGGACTTATAGGTCAACTATGGGTGTTATTTGACAATTCAGTGAGAGGCTGTAACGCGAAGATCGTCAGTTGCTTGTTTCAGAATCAAACCCGCCCTGGATGTGAATTCATAGAGACATACTGTAAGAAGACAACGTTTCCTGGAAAAGTCGTCTACCACAATAACCACAACCAAGTGCTCAGGCGAAACCACTCATCGATACCCATCAATATTGGTGGCAAGAGAAATGTCATCGTGATAGTATTCGATTCTATATCACACTCAAACTTTATCCGGAATATGCCGAAAAGTCTCGAGGTAAACTTGAATTATGACTGAAATCTGATTTAAATGAGCCAATGCGTTGAATTTCACGAAAACAAAAATTAAACATAATTCTCATTGTGGCGTCACTAATACCATTTCATAAGGGTGGAGGAGATCCTCGTCCATTTAGGTACTGACATCGTTGTACGGATCACATATATTCGATGGGATGAGTAAAATTGGCGATCAATCGTTCCCCAATGCTGTTGCATTTCTTGCAGGTAAGGACTTTTCAATCTAATTGAATGGTGTGATGGCTGTGATAAACCCCATTGTTCAAATCCATGGCCCTTGCAACTGATCGCTATGTTAGGAAGGCTATCAGCTAGGAAGCTTGATGTTTCCGCGTTGCATATGCAAGCATGCACGAGCCCACCCCATAAACGAATTGTCGACTAAAAATTTTTTATTTCAATACCAGCGTACTAAAAGTACTACGCCAAGACTTTCCTCATAGAAAAGTGGCAACATCATAGCTAGCAGAAACGAAAAATCGCCAAGTTCATGCAGCTTCCTCAATGAGGCGTGGTCTCTGAAAATAGGTCTCGGCTTCTAATTTGAAGATCTTTTAGAGTGAATTATTTCCAGGACGTGACTACGCTACGGAATTCGGAGACACCAAAGGCTTCTTTGACAATCACCCGTTGATTTGGAAAGATTTTGAGCAAGCGGTAAGATTTCCGAGACTTCTACTCGAGTGTTGCATAGTAGTAGTTTTTGGAAATCAAATATGTCACGAATTCATCTATTTCAAGGGCTACAGCACCTACTACGCAGAGGACTACCCCAATTTCAACCTATTTTACTATCTAGCCAAAGGATTTCGTCGAAAACCGGTACACCACTACTTCAGGTAACGTTGGCAGATAAGGGTAAAATAATAGCCAGGCGAGGCCATTTATGGGAATGGATGCAAAAGTAAGTATGTAGCTGGTGCTGTTTATACCTTTAGAACGGGTCACTCTGTCGCTTCCTTCCCAATCTTGCCTAGGTGCTTAGCCCTGAAGTCAATCTATATGACATCAGCGATACACAATTTTTATCCAAGAGAAAATCATGGTGGCTATTGGAAGCTTCATGTCAAGGGAATAATGGGCCATCTCCGTCTGTGACATCAAGGGTCACCAGATCCGTCCAGGCCATCGGAAAAAGTTGTGTTGTCCAAATCACAATAACTTGAACTGAGGACGAAAATAGTTAACATGAGCCGGTTGAAGCTAGGTGGGAATGGTCTGCCCTCAGTTAAAGAGGGTCTCACCGGCGCACCGCTATTTTTCCAGCCCTTCCTGGTTTTGAGAACTGAATCAGTGAGCTTTTGTCATATACGTCTGAGATTTTGCCAAATAACCCTTTTGGGTAGAACTAATGAATACAATGAACTGAGTCTTGTTTATCTACTACCCAAGCGATTCTGCTCTAAAAACCATACACTGACTGCCAAAAAAGTTTTATATTTTCAGACCATTTTGGCTGAATGTCTACGGAAGTTATCTGCATCGTAGAAGTAAATTCCTCTGCTATGGAAATCATGCAATGCACAACATACAACTACATTATTTGTCGCAGTTTTTGCGCAAGTACAAAGGTCGAGTCAATTTTTATATCAAATTTTTTCAAATAAATTAAAAAAACTGCAAAGTTTAGATTCACCAAACTTTGCCTTGAATTGGCTAACAGAGCTTGGCCACGACTATATGAACCAAATTAATGTTGCTGATGAAGACTTTGCCAAATTTCTTACAGATCACTTCGGGATTCTCAAGGTACAGTTACTATTTCGAATATTATCGTTTACAAATTCATTTTCGAATATTCTCTTCCATGCCTACATAAGAACGGATGTTATGGAATTCATGAGGTTTTCCATTTCCAGTTTCTTCCTAAATTTTTTCTCACGATTAGGAAAGGTAGCATCAATGACATTTTACTTAAACAAGTTACCCAATACGTGAGGCAGCCATGTGGGAGATAGTGTGCGACAAGACAACCAACTAGGAATCGAAAAGCCTCACAAGCGAATTAGACTTAAAGGCACACTTCATGACAATTTTAGGTTACCTAGTTTGAGACAAATAATGGAAGCAATAGTCCAGACGAGTGCAAAATCTACGAATAGAACGGGGATATCGGCATTTGTAGAGAAAAATAAAGCTTTAAAACCTAGTAAAAATAGGGGATGGATGAGAATGTGAAGAAACAAGCTGTATGGAAGGGGAATTGAACGAGCAATCCAAATGCGTCTGACGTTGAATACAGTTGACTAGTCAGCTGTTTGTGTGCAACGTGCGCGTTCCGATGCGAACCGTGCAACTACGGGTGTGGTGCGTTAGGAACGAAATGGTCGCGTTGCGGTGAGAGGGGCGTCGCGCGCGAAGGAATGTAGCAGGATGCAGCAGTAGGTAAGAAATACAAGAACAAAAGTACTAATAGTGGAATTACGCATAAAATAATGATCGCATATCGATTGAGCTGTATGAGGAACGCTAGAGCTGTAATAACGGCGAATGAGTGGTCCGCGTGGTCCTTATTACGCCCTATTTAGGCCGCCCTATCTAGGCCCGAGAGCTACCCTTAGGCTATCCCTAAAGGATTTGGGCTGCTTCTGAGAAGAATTACTTTTAAGAAAAACAATTTTCGACGTAATTTGTACCTTCAAAGCCATACGTCATTCCAGTATGCACATCAGTTTAGGTTCTTATTCGAAGCAGATATCTCCAATAAGCCACGTATTCAGGACAGTTTCCTATTCGTGCTCGGAGATCACGGTCATCGTTTTGATTCGATTCGTCGTACTACCATAGGCCGAATCGAAGAGCGTTTCCCCTTCTTCTCAATGCACATACCAGAGGAAATTCAAAACAAATTCCCACAAATGAATAGGACGGTGCATGAAAATACTCAGGTAATTTATTTGTTAGAGAAACGGCAATGATAACCGGTTCACAACTACTAGATTTTCCTAGCCCTTCCCAATTATTATTCCGAAGCAAGTGCAGCATTCGCAGAGGCCAGTGAAAATCTTTTCTCAGGGCCTTTATCTAACACTTATTTTCGAGGTCCCTCCGCATAGTACTGAAAATTATGCACTCGAAGAAAGCTATGTACTTCCCCTTGGCCTTTACCTCAGCCTAAAGATGGCCTTAAAGTTTGAAATTCAGGTGCTCACTTCGTTCTGGGACTTCTACGCGACAATGCAGGACATTCTTCAGCTAGGCAAGTCTAATGCGTGGAAGCATCTCAGCGATCATACAAGTAATTCTACCACTAATATTTCTACCAGAGGATCAAGCCTACTCAGACCGATAAGGGTTAGTTTCCAGTATAGGAAGTTTCAATAAAAAAAATCAAGCAAAAGTGCCAAGTAGTAAAATCAAAAACAAAAAAGTGATTGAAATGAGTGACTTTCTTTGAGCTTCCGTAGAGAGTGAAAAAAGGCAATGTAAGAGTCCGATTGATGAAGTCTAGCTTTCTAGGGGAGTTAGTGTCGAGCACTTATTACCTCCGAGATCAACTATCAGCTCCAAACTAATTCCTGCTCTCTCTCTTTCTCTTTTTCCTATCTTTTTTCTCTTTTCTCCTTTTGTCCTCTCTTCTTTCGTCGTCTAATGCTTCTGAGAGGCTGTAGAGCTGTAAAGGGTGTTCCCAAAAAGAATTATTTCAGGATCGAAACTGCAGAGAAGCGGGTGTCCCAGATGAATTTTGTATGTGCCACGATGAACTCGCCTTGGATACGAATGAACTGAGAGTAAGTCTGCTTTTATTGGTTTCCGAATTGTACCGACTTTTCCGATTTCTTACTAACATCCTTTCTACGAACTTTTCTATGACGGCGATGTCTCAAACACTAGGAGATTGATGGACGCGTCTGCATGAAACCCCATTTATGTCTCGGCTTTTTTTGGTGGAACTTCAAATGCAAATTCGAGAGTTTTATCAAAACTAGACGTATGCTCTCAGCCAGAGGCCGCATGGATGAGCTTTTTCTTTCGAAAACGTATCTGATTCGCCTAGAATCGGAGTTCGGAATTCGAGATGAACTACTAGAATGTGACGTAATCGAGTTCTGTTTTTAGGTACGGCAGCTTGCCGGCACGATTATAAGCCATCTGAACAACCTTCTGGCTTCATCCAGTCGCTGTGCTAAGCTGACCTTGGCAAGAATCTTGCATGCTACAGTAATCGACCAATACGACAAATCAAGCTCATCAGAAGCTCGATATCGTCTAACCATCGAGGCGAAGCCGTCAGGTGCTCTGTTCGAGGCACTACTTAAATCTGACCCCGCCCTTAACACCTCTACTGTATACGGTACTGTAAATCGGGTAAACGCATATGGTGATCAGTCCTCATGTGTATATGAACAAGAACTACGTAAGTTCTGTTATTGTATTTAGTCCAGTACAGCCAAAGCAACACTTTTTTGCCCCTAAAATTTGCAGAACAGATCTCTAATTAGGTAGGCATTCAAGTCACTGAGCACATCCTTCCTGTACGCAACTCGCTCACACTCCCAAAACAGCTCTAGGTCAACGAATCCAACGTCATTTGAAAAATCAAAGGAAAAATAGAAAAATTGCAATGACAAAGTAGATGATATACCTTCAACTGATGAGCCGTGAAGTTCAATTACCACGTGTAGTTGCCCGTGCGGTTCAAGATCCACCTGAAATACAGATTCGTTTTTAGATTCCTTAAAAAATCTTAATGTGTTCAGTATTATTGTTGACCCTTGGAGACTACACTTGACCAACAGCTTCCTTCTTACGTCTGGTTACGGCCGTTAACTGGGGTTTAGGGCTCTAGAATATCCTCCATGGAAATCTGCAGGCAGGAGTGTGGTCCCACAGGTTCTGTGGAATGCGCCTGCTATTCATTGAATTTTTTCAAGCCAATTTTTGCTTTATCATCGATAAATTCAATTAGCATTAAAGCTACAACAGGAATCTTGTAAACAGTCGGGCAACTAAGGACAGACCGTTCCTACGGGCGATAAGGGCGCCCGAGTGTGTGCTCCCACCTATGCCTACCAGTTCATATACATTTCTATTGCGTTGATTGTAAACATGTGCACTAATAAAGATGTATTTGTATTTTAATAAAGACGTATTCATTTTGAAGTGTATGATGTATTGAATGAAGCGCAAAACCCTCAATCAATATCAATCAATAAACTAACCCAGATATCATTAGTGCTGCCTATTTTGAGATCGTCGAATGGTATCCTAGTGTTAGCCACGAAATCATCTGGTGGCATTACACAATTATGAAAGACGGTGAAACCGATGGCTCGACCAGAGTGCACGTCGTTCTGAAATTGATTAGCTGCTTAGTAGATGTCACCAATTTTCGCCACTGCTGCTCGATATTCGTCTTCAAGTCGCTTGACATATACCCTTGCATTATGAAAAATACGAAGGGAGAGACTATCATAGCGATTTTACTCAACTTTGTGGCAGATTTCGACGTCAAGTAGTAACAGCCACGCTGGTATGGGTAAGAAAGCGAAAGGCTTGGAGGGGCCCAGAAAAACAAATCGATCAGATGTACTTTTAGGGGATTATTTTCGAGAAGGTCCATCCTTTCCTCAAAATGACTTGGAAGTTCTGCTCAATCTTGGCCACCTGCACGACAATTTAATCAGTTCTACCGGATAGCAACTATTGTGTTTTTCCGAACNCGGATAGCAACTATTGTGTTTTTCCGAACACTCAGATCTCATTTACCTATCTGATAGCAAACCTGAAGGCTTTACTGTAGCTAATACGATTGAGCTACTGCGGGTTGGTGAAAAGAAATAAGATCGTGTAACTTATGCAGTAAACGCATACTTCGGTATGTTCTCATGGGATCTCACCCTGACACCACCAAGACCTCGGTCGTCTCGGTGGGCGGTGATCTTATCTGGTAAATTCTGGAGACAACCTGTCAATGAAGTGAACCATATGTTTGGCGAATGTCTCAAAATCAATCCAAGTAAATTTCCAAATAAATCTCAATGGTATGCGAACGAGCCACTCGACTAATCATGTGAGACGGTCCCTAAAATCCACCCACACCACCCGGGAGACGGGCGTTAGGAACGATTTTGGGTAATCGATTCGCAGCACGCGGCTGTCGCGAACCACTCATTCGTCGTTATTACAGCTCTTCATACAGCCCAATCGATATGCCATCATTATTTCATGCATAATTCTACTATTAGTACTTTTGTTCTTGCATTTCTTACCTACTGCTGCATCCTGCTATATTCCTTCGCGCGCGACGTCTCTCCCACCGCGACGCGACAATTTCGTTCCTACTGCACCACACCCACACCACCAGTAGACACCAAACTATGAACGCTCTTGAGTAGCGTAGCGGTAGCGTTCGCTACATAAGTGCCACATTCGACACAAGTGCAATAGTAAGTGTACGAGCAAATATAAAGAGAAATATTAGTAACGAACCGCAACGAATTCTTCGTTCCATCGTGGCTCATTGGTCTTCGGCCGTACCAGAGTCTTTCCAACGTGGTACTCATCCCAGTCCACGTTGACGTAGGCGTCTATCGCGGCCTGAAAAACGATTAATGAGAAATGAAAACGTCATAAAATGAACTCATGTGGTTTCTAGCCATTGGAGAAAGGACAGCGAAGCACTGTTCAATATTCATATTTTGCCGGTGGACTCATCTGATAAACGTCTGTCCATCAGATGAGTCAACCGGCTAAATACGAATTTTGAACAGTGCTTCCTCCCTTCCACCTGTTTCACTGATGCATGATACGCCTAAGTAATACTATGGACCACGTGGTAATTAATATATCGTGGACATAAATCCACTTATTTCTTAAGGAAGCCATTGTAGCAACAAGTTTCTCGATAATAGTTGCAAGTACCCAAGTGTAGGATCAAATAAAAAAATAACATAATGAGGCTACTGTCCCGATAGTACTCAAGGTGCACAATGTCAAACAAGTGCCATCCTGTTGTGAAGGCTTAATTGAGAGTCGTGGACTAGCTCAGGGAGCTCGGAGGGAAAGCGCACTGATCAGGGATGGGTGGAAACATGGCATGTGCCATTTTGAAGCAATTTGTTGAATAAGAAGGCGATGCAGTGCAGGTTCGTATAAAATCCATTATTTTCTGTGATTTCACCTTGGGCACTTGAATTTAAAAAAAAAATCTCAAGACAGTTCAGAGCCTCTTTGTGGATTTTCGTGGTTTGGATTACACAACTTATAGAAATGGGGTTGTGTGGCATCCAATGGAAACTTCTCCCTCTTTGTTGAGGTCCTTTCATTTCATTCCTTCATCGGAGGATAATTTAGTTCTTTGCGGAATAATACAAATATTCTCAGTGTGGAATTCAGAAGAGGCTGAGAGTACGCTTCAGGAAAAGAAACAAGCCGACTCTCAGTTGCGTCGTTAGCTTCTCATCGATTCCGACTTCTCGGTAAAGATGAAGCTGAGCTCTTAAGTTATTCTTCCAGTGCGTTCCAGCATGAAAAAAAATCCGGTTTCCTGACAATCGTGTATTTGTTGCATCTGGCCATAGTCAACGGAATACGTAAGGGGAGGTATTTATTTATTTAATCACTTATTTATGCATTTAATGCTAATATGATAGTAAGGAACCTTGTAACCGATTTAACCCAATTTGGCAATAGTAAGGTAGGGGTGAGGAAGAGAGAAAATAGTCACGAGTAGGTATGTACATAGATAACTCGTCTCACAACTTTGTATCCAGTTCTGGAAAATCATTGAGCAAATAGTCGCTCAGAAGTGAAACTGTTTGCTGATTCACTTGCTTGGCCAATTGGGAATGCGTCAAAACCAGGAAATAATATGAAAGCTAATTTGAAACCCAACCGGCCCATAGAACCCGCTACTTCTAGACCCGTGCTCGGCTGAGTGTGCGCTCAATCTAAAAACAGACGAAAAATCGTATAAACAAACAAATATTGTGAAAATTCCAATACAGAAGGGGAAACAAGAAAATTATTTATGGATAACAACTAAGGATAACAAATTGACGGAAAAACACCGTGAAATGGGAAAATTAATGCAAACGCCCGTGAGGAGAGGAAAAACTGCGTAAAAATAAGAGGTAAGGCTTACCGTTTCATTCTGATTGAATCGCCGGGACCATTCAGTTGGACGAAGACCTCGAGCCTCTAGAACCCGCACTCGTAGCGTACCAGTGAACAGCATCAGAGGTCACCTGAAGAAAAAACGAATAAAATAAAAAGCTACTCTCAGAACCAATTTATACGAAAATGGATGCGAACGATATGAAAAAGTCGAAAAAAAACAAAAAAAAAACAACAAGAAATTGAAAAAATTCATGAAAATGCGCTAGCTATGAGTAGAGAGAATTGTAGGAATAGGGAAAAGTTGTAAATTCGAATGGTTCCATATTTTTGCTCATCAACACTGAGCTTGCGGGACCTGGGTGAATGCACAACGACGTTTCACTGTTCGAAGTGGATTTGACACCATACGTATTTACACCAACTGTGTTCAGACATTCATGGACCCACAACGATAAACACCAGGTTAAAATCGTCCCCTTTTCTGTTAGCGGGTATAATCCCCAGAAGTTCCGGGTATTTTGCATCTGCAGATGCTCTGATCCACTCTCAAACCTTCTGAAGTGCTTTCAAGTCCTCGCTCTAGCTTTTCCTAGTTCTTCTTCGTACGTTAGGCTTTGGAGCTGTATGAGCTTGAGATCAGTGCTCGTTGAATAGAGTTAGGTCTTGAACGAGGAGAAAAGACGCCTCAATTGTGGATGCCGTGAACTGAGGAGCTCATGAAGAATCACAGAGTTCACCGAGGTCATTCATGAGTATTATTAGATCACCAAACCTTATGGTATCGATAACTGAGATTAATCATTCTATTCCTTTTTCAGATAATTTTGGCATTACTCTGCGAAATTCGAAAGATGTCCTTTCCATGCACTTTTTATTTCCGTGCTGCATCAACCGTCCGATTAATGTTACGAGAGCCAGTACATGTGGTAACAGCATCTGTGAGATATTTTCCAGTACAGACTTCCCAAACATGGGCTATCGTACATATTCCCCCACTCGGACAACGATTTCAGGCTCCCAATTTCGAAGAGGATTTATCACCCTAGATCCCATCTTCTTCTAATGGGAACTACCCGAACACGAAAACGATTCAGCTCAAAATTTCTCTCGAGAGGGTTCCCGCTCGAATGGCAAAACAAAAAATTGAAAGAGAATAGCAGTAGAGCTACAGAAAACTTCGGGTTTCTTCAAATCTAAAAAGACCGAGCGTATCGAACCCCGCACAAAATTATGTGATCGAGACATACACAAATAAAACTGTTATGTCATAACGACTACCATGGTAGGACCGAGGCAATTTAGCTGTGTAGCAAGTTATGTGTTTATAAAAATAGTTGCGGATTACGGGAGCGATCGGTACTGCTCAGAATCTTTTTGGATATGAAGCTCAAGCGGCACTTCGGTTTCAAACAATTTTCTAGTTTCGAAAGGTGCTTTCATACCATCTTTCTAAACTGACTGTCAAATTGCCCTCCGAGTCTACATACAGGTAATCATACCGGTGAAGATTAGTAGGCACAAGCTATGCCCACGACAGAGTCGCTAAGGCAAATCTGCAGACATTGGCAATTCGAAAAAATCCCATTCTGGTAATTCGAGAATCTTCTATGGGAAGCAATGCTATGCATTTAAGTACAACTAAGAGGTTTTTAGCTACCAGTATGACTGCCTATCCTCGTAATGGCCCTCTTCTCTCATAATTCGAGCCCCGTGTAATAAGTCGCTAGCATAACGATCAGGATACCGGAATCTCCTTAAAGGCTTTCACGCAAAATCCACTGGCTGATAGATATAAGAAAAGGAAGTAATCATCTGATTTATGGCCAAAACCTTTAGGCTGAACAAAAACCATGCTTTGACTTTCCTTTACGGACTTAAAGGGTACAGTCCAAGACAACTTTCCTTTGTAATGAGGCGTAGCAGGAAATAGAACAACAGATGTGGCTTTTTCCATATTCGGATAGAACCAGTTCGATGAAAAATAGGTGCACATAATATTACTAATCATAATTATTTTACCAGAACTATTTTGGGAGAAAAATAGGAAATGAAATGAAGAAAATAGAGTTGAAATCGAAAGGGTTCATAGTTAATTTATGTTCCCACGTGAGCCTAGAAACATTTCACCAACGCAGTACATACGGAGAGAGGGCTCGCTTGTACTTGGCGATTATCGGACCGGTATATCCTTCACGAACTAAAGAATTGTCAGCTTTGCCACATGACCCTGACTCATCTTCGCCTTTAGGGTATGTTACAGGTACCATGAAAATTACTGACCGAAAGATGTGGAAAAAACACATTGAAGATCATGGCAAGGACATAAGGACGAGATTTAAGCTTCAGCAAAAGTGCTCTTACATCTAAAAGGATCGTCAAAGACAAAACATCGAATGTGGATTGGAAGGCATTGCCACAATCACAGGAACACTTTGAAATTTGCCCAGAAAGGTTTCCTAACCTAAATGACGTAAGAAAAGGGGAGGGGAAAGTGGCAAGTGGGCAGGGGAAGACATCCTTATTGTCAGTGTGATACCTCCCAATCTGGGATTCGACGTGGAGATTATAAGGCTTGTACCAAAAAGGTGTAGAAGAGTAGGCGGGGTGGGGGAGGGTGGATTAGCAGCGCTATAATATTTCTAATGATATTCATTTCACCCATATTTGTGTGGGTGTGAGGGAAGGTTTTTCATATCCTATGTACCTCGTAGTCCATATGATGGCTCCCAATCAAAAAATCGTTGTGGAGATGGGAACGCCTAGACTAAAGAGGTAGAAGAAGAGGCTGGGGCCCACGGAACTTCTAATAGCCATGATCACCTCATCTACAAGGGATTTACTCTGTAGCCGATATTTCTTTTGACTTTATAGAATATCCCTTGCTTCATTCACTCATTGCCTGCATACTGCTGGAGCAATCTCGACTTAAAAATCATGAGGGACTAAGACGGTGAGGAAATCGAGAAGATGGATTGCGTCCCTTCAGCCCGAGTGCATTTCTTTCTGCCAAGGGAATGGTTGCAGTATGCAATGCCAGATTGGCATTCGCTATTATACCCTCGGGAAAAGTTCCCATTGCACTTTATGAAGTTCTGCTCGATGGGAAAAAACAGTTTTATTCTTTTTTCTCTATTCTCGTTCAGATTGACAACTTCAGAACAATAAGAAAAAAAACAGCTCCATGAAGTATCTTTTTCATGAAGCCATGGAGATGGTGCTTTTCGTAACAATCGATTTTATTGCTGAGAAGCCATCTGCAAACCTTGCTTGTTTAACGTTAGTCCTGTCAAAGACACTCTGAAGACAGCTGTCTCGTGAGTAATGAACCACTAAGATGGGGAAAAGTCTCAGGAAATCGTTCATTCCGTTAATAGCAGCTACATTCATGTAGATTGGGAAATCGTCCATGCGAACAAATGGAACGAGACGAACGACAGTGAAAAGGGAACGTTCAATAAGGTAGGAACTTGATCGATCGGTCTCCCAAGTTCTAAAATATTCACTGAAGTCGGGAACGAAGCGACAAATATTCCAATGCTGCGCATGCGTAAGAAGGTTGTAAATGAGCAAAGCAGGAAGCGAACGAAGCCTGTTTTGGACGGCAGTTGGATTTGCATATTCGGCCGAAAATACATATAACTCAGTAGTTGCCCAACTGGTATGCTCCGTGTTATGGTAACAAACTCCCATAATCCCATCTATACACGTAAATGAATTTTTATATTTCCCAGAATAACACTCTTAACTATGCCTTTGAATCATCAGCCACCCTTTACATCAGGCTTAAATCATAAGATAATACAATCGAGCACATGTGGATTACATTCCAGTCGTCAACAGTAAAAGTAATAGTAAAAAGAAGTGGGCGACAAAGTTAATCGCATATGGATATGATAAGAAATTGTGATTACTGTGCAGAATACTTTACTATTAAGAGAAATACAAACAGGTCTGACATTCATTCGCCCCAGAAGGGAATTTAAGCAGAATTCTATATTTAAAAATACTTCCCAGACGAAGTGCACCAAGTTGTGTGCTCGAAAGCCTCACGTCATGACTTTTTTCTAATTGATTAAGATGCCTATTTGGGGTGATTTGAATTGAAGGATATCCAAGGCCTAGGAACTAGGACGTTTTTGGGAGCCCAAAGACTGCTGGCTCATACCACCACTTCCCTGATTTCAAGGGAGGGTAATCCTGATTTGAAGAAGGTTAGCTGGCAAAGGCAAATCGAACAGTTGAACAATTTCCATAACCAGATGAGACTGGAGAGTCGAAGTAGTATTGGAAGGGCTTTGAGAGTCCGTGCTGAATTCGGAAGCTCATTGCCAGTCGTTTGATGGAAAAGACTTAGTAAATGAAATCTCCAAGATAATGAGGAAAATAACCACAATAGGGAAATCTGATTTTACAGGAAGTAGGGGGTGAAATCAAAGAGTATAAACATTCCAATGAATATATATCGTAAGAACGAGAAAAATATGTCTCCACCTATTCCCGGTATAACTAATTACCTACAGCAGAGTGTGTCGTTACATATTTTTCATCCTACTAATCTGCACGTGAACCTTTTCGATGGATAAAAAGTAGGAGGTGATTTTTTGCTTTTTTCCTCCTCCCAATAAGGGTAGGTAGTCGAGTGGACGGACCTGGACAGAACTTTGGTATGTGATACTTTACTTTTGTGGCTTTTCGGGTAAGAAGGCAGCACACCCAGCCTGGAATCCGATTTTAGTCTCATCTATTGGCGGTGGAGTGCATGATGAACACCCTTTAAGCCGAATTGTATAGTACCGAACACTGAAAAGTTGCGAGGTTTTGAGGATCACCGGCTAGTGAATCAAGCTAATAACTCAAAAAATTACGACACTCGAGTAACAAGGATTACCACAGAAGGGAATTTTCTGTTCCACTCGGATAACGGCTCTTTTCCAGGGTACCTCAGCAACCGATACGTGTGCATGCGAAGTGGGGAGCGGCCTCCTTGCCTAGCTTTTCAACGGGATAGTTCTTCTGAACGATCGATACACAGAACGAGGCTTAACATATAGCAAAAAGAGGCTTGGGTTGGGTGTAGCTTCTTCCCAACGAATTACTAGATCCATTTGTACCTCTAGT